ATTGAATCAATATGATATATATGTTTCCTTCTTTTTTAATAGTCTCGTGCACTGTGCTGGCTTATTTATTTATTTTATTTGTATAAAGTCATATAAGGCCACTCAATAACGGCCAACAACTTATTGGTTTTTTGGGAAAACACTTTAGGTGGAAGACATTTAGTTTCTATTTCTAAAGTAAAATTGAATCAAAAGAATTAAAGGAATAATTTTATATTCGTTTGGACCTCTTGACGTAATTCCCTATACTTAAATGTCCATTTGTTCTGCCAAATTAATGGGGCAATTTTGTTCAACAAAATTACTTTCAGGATTTGTGAGCTACCTTTACTATCGAGGATTTAATAAACATCGTCTCATGGTGTAAATATCGAAATTGCCATTTTTACATTTCTTGATATCTCCACGAATATTGGTCTGTTGCTAGTCAAATAAACACTAGAGATCATGGATCAATTTGCTCAACAATTTTACTTGGTAGCAAAAAAAAACAAAAATATCCGATTTTTTTAGGTGAATACCCTGAGAGAACGTTTGGATCAAATATGCTTATATGGTGTAAATATTCAAAATCTTATTAGTAAATTGTTTTTTTTAGAGTGAAAAAATGAGATATTTTGTCTGGTATTTATGCAATCAATGTCAAACAACATCTGAATGATGGATCATAATGTACTCCACCAGGTTGCTTATATATAAAAAGTAGCTTGACTTAACCGATATAGAGTTATAGCTGAATTTCAAGATTTGATTTGCCATTTTGATCAAAATGCCCTTTTTTTTATTACACTTTTCATTTCACCGGTAAATTCAATAATATTCAATGTGCATTTATATCATATAAACCAATTTAACTAACCTTTGAGCGATCCGAACACTATTATAACCTTCAATGAACACACAATACAATCTCGAAGCTCATAAAAAATAGACCTGTTTATTCGGACCATCGCATACACAAACCCTTTTTATTTTTAAAATGCTTTTAAATAATTATATTCTGAAGATCTGTGAATGTTATTACAGAAATATTAGATCCATTCAGTGTGTATATGTGTTCTCTTGGATCTTTGTGCTTTGAAGGTCTGCGAATAATTTCCATACGGTAACCTAAACCAAAGTGCTTTCCTGCAAAATATAATAAACCCCGACGTTCAAACAGCTTGGAGAGATCGAGGCTCAAGAAAGAAAATGGCTATCAAGCGTGTAAAATAGATATGTTGACAGCGTGATTTTCTTCTAAAAGCCTTTACTAAATCATATAAAATAAAAGCAACCCTTTTTAAAAGACCTTTCAAAAGACCTTTCTCTTGTGTTTTTCTGTATCTTGTATTGTTCAATATTAAAAAGTATACACACTTTTTAGTACCATATATAAGAATTAAGATATTATTCTTGTAATAGTCAAAACTCTTTTATATTTCTAAGAAATCAATCAGATATCGACTGTACATATATATACCAAGTACTTTCAAGACTTTAACAATTTTTAAACGCGTGTGCATTCTGGTTTTTACCCTAAAAACTCTTGCTTTCTATCATGAGTGGCTGTTAAAAGGATGCGCAAATCAACATTGGACGTCAGGCTGAATGAGAAAACTAGGGAATTGATCTTTAATGCGCAATGTTCTGACAAACTCATTTCTGCAAAGACATGATGAGAGTTATATATAAGCTAATGAGCTATTCGCATGAGCAGAATTGTAGTTTCTGATGGTAAATAAGGTTTCGCATCGTTGTCGCTCGTCTTTTTCTGTTTTTTGCGTCCTTTTTTGTTTACTTTTTGCTTTTTTTTTCATCGTCTTTAGCTCTAGTAGTCACCTGCATATGAAAATAGTCACACCTCTTTCCCCTTAATTTTTTTTGAAGGGGCACACGTCAGCGATGAAAGGATGCAAGAGATGCGTAAAGTAGATGGAAGACTCCATTTACTTTGGTCCTCTTCACCGAAAAGGAACTCGTGAAACTCAACTCCGTTAAAGTAGTTCAAGTGACGATTGACGTTCTTTCAAAAAAAAAGTGTGTGTGTTAGGTACCACCGCACTCGTCTGTAATATTTCTTTTTGGAATTGGTTTGAGTTTAATAAAGAAGTGCAGTATGATTGTACTGAAGTTCTGACGATATTTTGTAGAGTTAGAAAGCTCAAGAGAAGCGAGAGGTTTGTAACGAGTCTTAAAAGAGAAAAATAAAGGTGTAGCGGTTTATATCAGAGAAGAACTCTAAGACTTTGTGCATCGAGGATAAAAAAGTATGGGAATTGTAT